TCCATTTTGAAGTTTCCTTGTAAGTTGAAATAGTGTTTGAACGAAGGGTTTCCTGAATGCTTTTCGACTTTCCAGGTTCCGAAGAAGGCGACGACGCCGAAACGTCAACCGTTAATAAAGAATATTTAACAATCTTGGCCACCAGCTTAATAATATCACATACTGTATGCAATAGAATCATGCCAAGATTCATCGAAAGTCGAACGTGGACAGTCATTTTGGTTACAGACGCTAAGGCGTGTTAGGGGGTGGAATCGACACGGCGTCAGCTGGTTTCTACTGGTTGCTGAAGCGGAAAAGCGACAACAGTTGCCAAAAAAAACGGGGTGGCCCACCCCGCCCCCTTCCCCTCCTTAGCGTCTCTAATGGGATAGATCTCCGTCCCCACCCATACTATCACCAGTGCCCTAAAAAGACTCGACAAAAAGACTTCTCTCAATTTCAGATGGGATGGTGTTCGAGATATTGATGTGTGGAAATGGGAAATGGGTTATGACTTCAATTCATTTGTACAGTCGTTCAATCGCGGTACAAATACTTGGGTTAAAAAGTGAGTAACTTCTCTTCGAGGCATTCCGTATTACCTGAGTTTCATCGTTTCGATGTGGGAGGGGTGTAGTTCCGTAGATCTAGGTGCGTACCACCTCCATAATTTGAAAGTGCGCAGAAGTGAAGCCGGAAGCTTCACTTCTGCGCACTTTCAAATACGGATTGCTTTGATAGATGGATTGACTCAGTGAGCGACGAGAAGTATACGTTCACGCAACACGCCACACGGCCAGCCATACGCCCAACAATAGCCACACGTGCAGCTTGCCTGCAACCTCTACGTATGATTGGGACGCTGCAAGGCCTATCAGGTTCCACAGCGATTGGGACGCCGCCTAAGTAAGCAGCTAAAGAGCTCTCGAGCTTACCGACACCCGAATGTGAGAGGGTGCAGGCAAATAGGGCGTTCGGCTAGACTATGGCGGTCGTGCGGCGTGTTGCTTATCTGCGGCATACGTCACTTGCGAACGGAGACATGAGGAACAGTATTGAGCAAGAGTGTATTTGGAATTGAATTGAATAATTATTATTTGTCGAGTTTAATCAAAGGCAACAATTCCAGCAACATCTTCCGTCGTTTGAGATGGTTGGATAGCAAACCGCTGGCACACCTTATCACGTTGATGTATTTAGCGATTTGGCATGGTTACCATCTGGGGTACTTTCTAATATTTGGCCTAGAATTCGGCGTCATGATGGCCCAACAGCAGGTTCGTTTGTAGCTGGAAGTCAGTGGGCGAGACAAAAATACAGCTGAATGGCATGGTTCGCTGATTTTAAGGGGGGGGGGGGTAACTCTGTTCACCCTCTCCTAAGCATGCCAGCGTCGGGAAATTTAAAATTCAGAGCCAGCTATTTGAGTGATATTTATTCGAGGCTTTGCCCAGGTAGACTGATCACTGCAAACTATCGTTTCAGTTATACTCTCTCGTTCGTCGATCCCCTGAACTCTCTCGTTTCACTTCAATACCGTCAGTACGCCTGTTCTTATGTGTACTTGGACGAGTGAATTTGCTTTACACCACTGGATTCGGGTTCTTAACATTTGGTCTGGTGAAAACGAAATACTGGATCGGGGTAAGTTAGCTACAGTTCAACTAGAAACTCTACAAAGGGACAGCCCATGATAGATAGGCCTGTGGTATGAGCGCTCGCGGATAAAGCGAGCAAACGCCAACGAAAAAGCTCCTGTCCTCAGAAAGGCGAGGGAAAAATCTGTGGTATTCGCAAGAAAGCTACACTGTGGATTAATTGGTTTTGAAAAAACGAAGAACAGTTTAGAAACAGGAATAAAGTTCAGATTTTGCGAAGGCGTACGTTGATCGCTGTAACGTGGCGTGACGCGCGTCAACGCGCTGCAACTGCAACTGCGCTCCAATCTTATAGACATTAACGCAGCCTCGAACGAGAATTGATCGGCGCTCCACCGGTGGGCAGTGTCGATCGATACCAGATTTTGTAAATGGGCAACGCGTACCTTCTTTTATTCATACTCTCCCACCACACAAGCAGGCGGCACCGACCCATCTTTGACTGCGGCTGCGTTCACCTCTATGCTGGAACCACTGCTGCAACTGAAGTGCGTTGCAGCGCGTCGGCCCTCTGTACAGCGCATCGTCGCACGTCGACGCGCTTATTCGTGAAGTCTGAATGCTGCCGACGGCTCCAGCGCTTGTTTCGATAATGCTTCTCCACCCTGTATAGCTCGCCCGGAAGCAAGGAAAAAGAACTATGGTGAAAAATTTCTCTACGTTCAAGATATGACACACTTCTCGTTATTTAAAGACAGCTCCCGCGATAAAAGTCTCATGGATAGCTGCTTTCCAATTATGAAACAGCAGCTGATAAGTAATCTCCCAAAGAAAACAGGCAAGAAGCGTTCTCCAGAACAACATAAACAAAATCGCTCCCTCACAGTTACACCTCCCTGCGGTCTCTGTGCAGCCCCTAGCTCACAAATCTCTCTATCACATCTCGCAGTAGTTGATATCATCCAGTGCAAAAGAAAGAATACAAAAAGAAACAACAAAACGCAGAGGAAAAACTCTGGGAAGGAAAAAGGAATTTTATCAACACGGTGTCTGAATTTGTGATTACGGTAGCGCACCTTTTGTGCGTCGTGGTTTTGCATCACGAAAATTGCGTCACTCGTGTTTTTACGCGTTTCACCCGCTAATGGGCTGAATTGAATGTATATACCTCCAATGAGTAAACTGTAATGAAGGAGAGCAGAATTATCCAGGGGCATTAGCAATGCCCGCCGCCCCAACTAAGAACAAGTGAGTGGCCTCCGTCGGAGGACATCTAGCAAGTAAAGGCGGTCCGACTGAGGAGGAGTTAGAACTAGCACTTTGAGCGGCTATAGCAGCCTCCACGCTCACAATAGAGTCGCGAAAGGTGAACAGTCTTCTAGCTTGGAGGCTAGACTACTTGCACAGCAAAGGCGACCACGAGCCATTTGATCGCGGGGGCTGTCGTTAAATACGACCTCCCCCGCCCCTCTTGATTGGCATTCGCGCAAGAATGCATGTTACGGCTTTCAATCATACAATCATTAGGCTCGCCGGACCTGGCGCTATTGGTGAAGTCGGCCCTACTATTCTATACAGCCATATGGCTTCCCGTGATAACAGCGGAGGGGGTTAATCCATTAGAAACTACTGTAAACTATACTGTTCAGCCTGTGAAATCGCTCTATTTCATCGGCTACATCTTTTACTTTATAATATGGCCGATACTCTATCGCGCACTTCTAAACATTCTTCCACTGAGAAAAAACGGAAGAGGAATGTGCACCACCACCCGCGATTGAGAAGACGAAAACGTCGTAATTATTCATGAAAAAAACCAACTCGTTTTCTTAAAAATTAGTTCCAACGATCTTATTGCTTACCCCATGATCTCACATTTACTCAAGGATGATAGTGTTAGGTCATGCTCTACTTTGGTAGTCTACTTGCCTCACTGGTTCTCTTGGTAAATACTGATATAATCAAATGTGATTAAATAAATGATTTATGCTTTTAATAAAGTCTGCTTTGTTAGAAACGTTGGGTATTCAATATCTGTATGAAGAATTATGGGTGAAGTGGTGAAATAAAATGTGGCACTACTTACACAGGGAGGGGGCAAAAAATGATCCTTTGCCCGAGATGCATATCACTAAAGAATAAGCAGCACAGAGAGAAGACGTTCGTACGAGCGCCAGGGCGATCGGTACTCATGTTCCTCGAAAAGCAGGAGCGGGTTCTCTCCACATTACCTTCATGTACACCAAAATATGAAGTCATCTCCAAGTCGCAGCCTGACTGGAGGGGCCTATGGATTCACGTCACCTCCAAACAGCTGCGAAACTTCTTGAATGGGTCACCCATGGATAGCTACCTGGAGACCAGTACTCTTGATCTGGAAGACCTCCAACATCGAGCAGCTCCGACAACGTCGCCACGGTCAGGGTATCATCTTCACCGCGGGTTGATGGCATGGATCGGAAGTACCTGGAATGGGAAGACCTACGCTGGCCTTTTCTCCACCAATTGTGCAAGCTGGCAGGCGACAACAAGTGGACTGGCGCCGAGCGAAGCCCAACCTCTGCGAAACGCCCCAGTGTTGGTAGGACAAGACTGAATTTGCCTGTTCACTTCGAGGGCACATATAGGACTGCCAGTCTTCAGTAGAGGAAATCAAGAAGAAAAAAGGGTGCTCACTGACCTGACAGAAAAGGAAATAACGAGCGCATAGAAACGGCTGGAAACACATAAAACACGGCCCGCCCACTTCCATCTTCTAGATATGAAGTGTAGGTGAGAAGTGTATCTGTCTGTTAAGTATCAAATCGAATCGGATTTCTGAATTCTTTTATTGAACTACGGCAGGGAACTCCACAAATGCTAAGGCTTCAACATGGGACTTGGCAGTGTCTAAAAGAGAATGAGAGTTCCTTTTCAAGTTGGAGGGAAACAGAGTCCCGGATAGCTTGTGGTGCAGTTGCGACATTGTGAGCATGTTGTGCCAACATTGTAGATATTTTGATTGACGATGTTGCCGCTGAAACAATTCGAGTTCGAAGGTGAAGAGCTCCACGTTAAAAATGATTGTTAGTCTCCGCCCATTCGATTATCATGGAATATGTCTTTACAGGTGTGGCAGAATGGCTGTAGGTGGGCGGTTGCTGTCAGTGCCATTGGTGGAAGGCTGGTAGAGGCACAAAGCCACTCCCCACTCCGCCCCCATCCATCATGCCCACTGCCTTTGAGCTTTGTTATATTTATTGGTGTGCGTGAGCCAGATGTTCATTATCCATTCAAAAAGCAGATGAGGCGTATGCAGCTTACCCAACCTGGTAGCCGCTGATTTTCGAATTCTCGGCTCCGCACGCTCGTCCAGCTTTATGGTACCTGAGAACTGGAATCGGGCACGTCCTATGACATGGGGAAATTCTTCCTGGGGACGACCCTCTCCAGGTTTTCTCCTCGGACATTGTCCCCTTCCAGAACGAATCGACCACCTTACCAAGCTTCCCCAAGAATATTGCGAAGAGAAGGAAGTGTGTTCCGAGGTGGGGGAGGGAGAAGGTGGGGAGCTGAAGATCTCCAACCAACCACCGGAAAAGGGTGTATTCGCTGGAAAATTCAGCAACTCAGCAACCAGCAAAGACTCTCTCGGGCCAAATACGACCCCCTATAGCACCCTCCAGCTTGGTATCTGTAATATGTGTGCGATGGCCCCGACTAGAAGAGAGCTCCTAAGAATGGTTCATTCACGTGGCTAGCGGTCAGACCTGAAGAATCCTGAAACTTACAAGTAATACTTACCGCGGATTATAGCGGCACACAACGACAGCCGTGGTGCCTCCACAAAGGCGAACGCCACATCCAACCTGGTAGGTTGAAGCCCATGCCATCTGAAATTATGGAGTTGAGGGTTTCCACTCGGTCTTCTCAATTTCAGAAAAAAATGACATTTTCCAGTGCAAAACTGGTTGGGGGGTGCCACTCGACCATGTTACGTCACATCTGCTTGTCCGTGCCCTATGACCAAAAAGGACAATAGACACCCCATTTCGAATGCTTAAGCAAAAAAAACTAAGACCGAGGCAAGTGATGGAATGGCATCGCCGCACCACCGCCTGGCACCCCCGAACTACCCATTTTCGGAATATCTCTGCAACATTTTTGTTCTTTGGTATGTGTCCATAACCATGAACTACTCATTGTGTTCACCATTTGCTGGGAGCTTACAGTAATTGACTAGTTCAGTGAAAAGTTCAGGCGCAGATCGGCTTGGGGGGGATTTTGCACTACCCACCGTCCTACCGGGCCTATCAAGTAGAGATCTGTTAGATCCTGTTGAACCAAACACACCAATCAGATGCGTAGAGACCACCTATTAACTCTTGTAATGAATACCAAATACCTGTCAATTCCTGTCAAAAGAATGAACACGACGATGGGAAGTTAACTGAAGTACAAGATGATCCCCACCCCCCCCCCTTCCCCCTAAGCCAAACTGGCCAAATATGAATTTCCAAATCTAATTTATCACTTTGACATCCATCTGTCAGCGAATTACTGGAGGTAACCACTCGAGTTCATGGAGAATGACCTTCCATGGAGTCCGATTTCTTCTGGCGCTTTGGAAACTTACTTGGGTGAACCTAAGTGGTGCTTCAAAATCCTGCAGAAGGGATTCAGTGAACATCATTCCTGGATCGATACCAATCAATTTGACTTCACGCCAGAATGTTCTGATGGCCTGAAAATCAGTCACGCTATGGACCACGAAGTTCAGGATCGTCAGGCGCTGCGAGGAGCAAACTGCACATGTCGTATCTTCGCGATAGAGCGCACACTCACAATGGTCTACTGAGTGTCCTGTTTGTTGAATCAGGCAGAGATTGACGATTTCAATCCAGATGCGATTCTGCGCGAGCCTGTGACACATCGCGCTCAACCGCTAATCGTTGGACCGCTGCGACTGAGTATCCATCAGGGAACATCGTTGTTGGGGAATCCCCAAGAGATGGGAGGTCGTATTTGGTCGCCGGGAGAAGGGGGTCGTATTTGGGCTGAGAAAAATTTATTTTGATAGTTGATTTTTCTTGTTCAGGGACGTTGTAAAAGGGGGAGGGGCGTACTTGCTCGTTGTTGAAAGGGGGGGGGTCGTATTACAGTCTCATCATTACGGACTGTCGGGGCGGCACAGCCGCGCTGCAATGTGACGCGGCTGCGGCTCGGTGACGGCGAATCAGCTGATTTCCATGGAATTCGGCTGCGAATTCCCACTTTTTCAGCTCTTCAAGCTTCGAAAGTGGAAGGTGAGTTATTGACAATTTTGGCCTTCTGTAATAAATGCCTAAACGGCAAAATACAAGGAAAAGAGCCTTTAATCGACATAAAAATAAAGGAAATTAGATCTTCCACTTTTAAAGCTTGAAGAGCTGAAAAGTGGGAATTCGCAGCCGAATTCCATCCAAATCAGCTGATCACCGTCACCGAGCAGCCGCTAGCCGCGTCACACTGCAGCGCGGCTGTGCCGCCCCGACAGTCCGTAATGATAAGGACTGTACTTTCTGTTAACTTTCTGGAATTCCGGGAGACGTGGTTGACTTCGTGATTTCCCTGTTTATGTGCACTGTACACCCCTGCCCCTTGCCCTAATTTTTTGAAATAAAGAGGGAGTTTCGCAGGGAACCTTTCGGAAAATTGGGGCAGGAAGTTGGGAAAAATGTGAGAATTGGGAATTGGTAGAAGGAGAGGATCGTATTTTTCTCGCGGCTTTCCCTTTTCACATGTGCTATTTACCCCTCGTCGTACGTCCGTCGTGCCAACCCCCACTCCTCAAAAAAAAAAGGGGGGGGGTCGTACGGACTCGACCAAAATCCCCAACCAATGATGCGCCCTTCAATCCATTCACATTTCGGATAGAACTTCTCTCAACCAGAGTTTCAGTGGTCCCTTAACATGGAAGCGGTCGCGGACGGCAGTCAGCGATTACATCGGTTGAGTCGCAAAGTGGAACGAAGTCTGAGGTAATGGATGTCAGTTTTCAGCCCTATTCACCAGTAGGAATTGAACTATCACGACCGATGGGATTTTTTTTCACTGATTATCTCATAGTCCGCGATTACCCTGTGTGCGTAATACCATCCTTACAAAAGAACGCAGTTGTAAGGGGGGAGGGCGCACCAACGTAACTAAAGAATGTTTGATAAGAAGGCTAGGCTCCGCCATCGATATACACAATCTGCTCCGTTTTAGCCCTACCTTTCAAATTTCACCTGTAGAGCAATCCTGAACGAAGGTTGGATCAGGGCTAAGATGGTATGGCATGGACAAAATCTCGGGAGGCAGAAATGACCGCTAAGCGCTAAGCGAAGCTCACGCCGAAAGGGCAAGACATGAGCTGAAAGTGAGGACAGAAATCCAGCCGGCGATACAACATGCGAGAGAATAATGCTATAGCGCTAAAATCAGACTAGAGAAGCATCCGACTCAACTAAAAGAAGAGGTGATGAGTAATTGTGGAGATGCGCTCGACCACAAAAGTTCGCTAACTCAGCGCGCGGTGCCTGACGATCCTCTCGTCACATACAGTCTTGTCCCTGCAAATGAAAGGGCGTGTGAGGGGGCGGGATAGAAGCACGACAAGAACGGCTTTTTTCTCGAACCGATGCCATCCTAAGCCCTCAACGACTGGCGGAGAGGGCTGCGGCTGTACTCCAGTTCATGCCCCTTCAGGCGCCCTCACACATGTAGGGATAATGACTGTAGCCTGTGTGTAACCCTCGTCATCCGGGCAGTTGATTAGGGCGGTCGTCAACGGGCCGCAGCGCGTGCCAGGAACTATTTGCTTTTCCAGGCTAATTTAGTCATTTTTTCCAACTTTTCACTGTTTTGGCTACTTTTTCCAGATAGCAGCTTTCTTACGTTCACAATGGGGGGGGTTGGAAAAAATGACTAAATTAGCCTGGAAAAAGCAAATAGTTTCCTGGCACGCGCTGCGGCCCGTTGACGACCGCCCTAATCAACTGCCCGGATGACGAGGTTATGTGCTGGGCCAAAGGCATTCTAAGGAGCGTCCAAAAACATAAAATCACTGACCGTGTATACGGCATCTAAATACGACCCACTATAGGGAATGAGCGCAAAATTTTCTCCGTAATAGCTACGTGATTCAACAGTGGAGCCACTGTATGGACAGGTATCCGCGTATTCTGAGCAAATCGTTTCATGCCATCGCTATAAGTCTGAAAAAATCGCTGGAAAACTTTGGATGAATGAAAAGAATAGCATGATCAATCAATCGCTTTATGGGGGAGGGGGGACCACGCACTCTACTTCCATTCAGAATCGCAGTGGCTTATTGAAGGCGGCGTGGCCTATGCAATGACCTGCAAGGACTGCTAATTTAAAAGTCAGAGTTTTTTTTTATCGTCCAAAGAAGCCCAGGTGCCAATTTGCTGTCCCTAGAGAGTGCAAAGCTTGACGCGTGAGCCTTGCAAGGTCTGCGACCGCGCGCAGCTTTGCCAGTTGCCATTTACACCCTACCTTGCACCTCGAGATTGGCGAGTACAGGGGGGGGGGCAATAAAAAAAGACATATTTTTTTTCGACTTTCAACGCGCTATGAAGTTACACGTTATTAAAATCTGATAGGACATTCCACCACCATATTCAACAGCACATTGTACACTATCGCGATACTCCGCCACAGGCCTTTGGGGGACCCGGAGGGCCGCCCCCCCCATCGAGAGTTTCTTCCGCGGCGACCGTGATTCGGTGCTGACTTCGGCGAGGTCTGGCCGCACTGTTCACCGGGACGCCCTGTTGAGCCTCCGCTTCGAACCCGGTAATCGAGGGATTAGGTCCAGGTGACCACGCTTAGATAATCCGTCTTCTTGAAGTACCCAACGCCATTCCATTCCAAGTAGGCGAGGGTTTTTTCAAGACCCCTCGATTCCGTGTGTTGGCACTCCATCCTGTAGCAAAACAAAGTTCCCGAAATGGTGCAGGCGACAACAGAAAGGCAAGATATTCTCCCCGAATTGGTCGATGTAAACCGTCAGCGTTCACTTTTAGTCCAGTGTCCACGAAGAAAATATCGGACTTCCCATTCCAAAAACTTCTGGTCCATACCATCAACCGCGGCCTTGGCGACGTGGAGAAGATGATATCCTGGACCGTAGCGATGTTGTCGGAGCTGCTCGATGTCTTGAGTGCTGGTCCTCAGGTAGCTGTCGCCGACGGGTGACTGCCAACAAGAAGTTTAGCAGTTTTTTCGGGGGGGGGGCGTAACCGTGAATTCGCATAATCCTTCTACAGTCCGGCTGCGATTGGAGATGACTATCATGTTTTGTGTAAGATGAAACTGAATGGGCGAGAGCCTTGCTTACTGCGTATGGTACTCTTTGAAATCTTCCGCCGATGGTACTCGTATCCACGTCTTTCCTGTCTGGTTGCAGAACTTTTCTGAATCGTGTCGCTCCTACTCGGCTGATAGTGTCTTTTTTTATTGGCCCACTGAACATACATCCGGAAAAACTGACCTCAGACTGATATCTTCGCGGAGACTGTCGCAAAAGCCCTTGGAAGCGATTGCAATGAGAAAGTCCCAAGACGCTAGATCAGTACGCCTGCAGGACAATACTGCGCCAATCGTCATGTGGCGGTTTTACCTTTTCGCGTCTCGCCTTTCGTTTTCGCGCCATTGCCCCTATACAGGGGGGGCGGGGGGCAAAAAAAAGACATTTCGACCGAGTCACATATCAGCAAAGTTTTCGCAGCCCAGACGGAGGACGTGGATACGAGTACCAGGGCGGAGGATACCCAAGATGTTCTCTACCTCCGAACAGCTGCGAATCTTCCAGTATGGAGTCACCCATAAATAGCTACCTAGAGAGCAGTAAGTACTCTCGATCTGGAAAACCTCCATCATCCGAGCAGCTCCGTCACGGCCTACGGTCCAGAACATCAATCTTCGACCTCAGTCGCCAAGGCGCCAGTTGATAATGGGGACCGGACGTACCTGGAATGGAGAGACCGATATTTTCTTCGTGGCCCCGGACTAAAGGTGAGCGCTGGCGGTTACATTGGGCAACTCGTGAAGAATATCCTCCTCACATGTGGTCGCCCGTACCTTCTTGGAAACTTTGTACTGCTACAGCATTGAGTGCCACCACATGAAATCGAAGGGCGTTGGAGAAACTCTTGCCTACTTGTAATGGAAGGGCGTTGAGTACCTGAAGAAGGTGGGATATCTAAGCAGGTAACCTGACCTTAAACCCCTTCAATTCCCTATCTCGGGCGTTCAACAGGGTGGTCTACAGTGGCGGAGAAATCAACGATCTCGCTGAACTCACGCACCCACTGACGGTCGCGTCGCAGAATCTCTCGATGGCGCTCCTCCAGAAGGCTGTGGCGGAATCATGATGGTATTTGATATGCTCTTTAATGGTAGAAATGTCCGATAATAATTTAATAAAGTGTAACTTGTAGCGCCTCGAAAGTCGAGGAGAAGAAAAAACCTTTTTTTGGCCCCCCTGTATAGCGCCCTACTAGTCTTTTAGACCGAGTACTAAATTATCGTGCTATATACCTTTGAGTCGTTAATCGCGGGTGTTTCAATCAATCACCAAGATGATGGATCTATCGAGGAGCAGAGCGTCAAGGTTCGCGGTCAATTGGGCTACATATTCAGGGCGTTCAATAAAGGATTCCTTTTAAATTGTTCCGAGAAGCAGGATTTAGGAAAGAAAAGGCGTGTCCGCTTACGAGATTGTATATATTCATTCCAGAAGGACAATTTCCACCTGCTGCATTGGGCACTAGTCCTTGGGCAAGATTCGACCTGAAAAATAGAATGTAAAGGTGAGAATAAAAATCTAAACTGTTCTATTTCAACACTACGCTTCAGTTTTCCATCAGGACCGTTCTTCTTACAGTAATGCCGCTGGAAACTGTGCACTCGCGAGGACTGTGCAGAGCCAAACGGCGAGGGTCGTAACGGAGGGGACAATTAGGAAGGAAGGAATCGTATTTTGCTGTGAATCTGCTCACTCGCCCCGCTCCATGACAGCTTTTTTTGGAAGGTTTGGTAAGAGGATCGGTCGTTCGTGGGAGAGTAGTGTCGTACTAAAGGAATGATTTGGGAGGAGGGGGGGGGGGTATTTTGCACAATTTCGCCTAGAACGCGAGGTATCTCTGTATAATATTATTGTACTACCTGCGATAATTGTGCATATCGATAATTTTCCAGCGAATTTCCTCTGTCATGGTAGGTGGCGAGCTCGCTGTCGCTGTTGTGGGGGTTGTTGTCGTGGTTGGCATAGTCGTTGTTGTGGGGGTTGTTGTGGTGGTTGGGGTAGTCGTTGTTGTGGGGATATTTGTGGTAGTCGGCGTAGTCGTTGTTGTTGGTGTGGTTGTTGTGGTTGGGGCAGTCGTTGTTGTGGGAGCAGCTGTGGTGGATGTTGGAGTCGCTGTTGTGGTCGTTGTTGGGGATGTCATAGCAGAAGTCTGTGTCGTTGTTGCAGTCGTTGTAGGGGTGGTCGTGGTAGAAGTCTGGATCGTTGTTGCGGACGTCGTGGACGCTGATGTGGTGGAGGCCGCGGTACTCTCCGATGTTACGGAATCAGCTTCTGAAAAGTTCTGTTTCTATTCTGTATGAGCACCAGAAGGAAATCTGCTAGAACGTACCAGCAAAGGTTGTCACATTAGTTGGATAACAGAGGCCTTGCACGGACTGCCCGACTGCCCTCGTTGTTGAAGTGCCACATTTTCGAAAAGGGAATATATTGAGTGCAATCACTGTCACTACTGCACCCAGTTGATCTAGCGTTTGGAGATGGCAAGTAGAGTGTCTCGTTCAATTTCGGTCTGAAAGCGTAACTGTCAAATAGAAATTTGTGCGCTATTTGGCTTGGGAGGACATTTTGCACTTCCGCTAGTTCCTTTTGCTAGATCCTGCTCAATACACGTCTCACCTTCTGTAGGCTTTTGTCAAATTTACACGAAGGTCGGCGAATTGAATAGCTTCGCAGGAACTTGTGAACTTGGCAGTAATAGATGGGATCTAGCAAAATACCCCCA